TTGCTTGAGAACTAGAGATATTTTATTGTTACTGCATATATATACTTTTCCCAACAAACTTTTCCCAACAACTTCCCCACGCTGTTTAAGAAACTGCCTCAATGTTAGTTTTTTTTAGAGATTACCTTAATTACTGGTAGCGTGTAGATGTTTGGCCTCTTTGGGTGGCGATGTTCTTCCATCGGAGGAAATGGATATATCAACCACGAAGGACTTGTGACACTGTCCAACATGTGGTAGCATGAACAAATGTTGAGAGTGATGTGGCCAAGTATGTTACYACTGTGGGTATATACAATATTCACAAATATTAATGTTTCTTCATGCATGTATTGAAAAACAAAGGTCGTGATGGTTGCATATTCCAAAACGCACGGGAAGAGGAAATGGTAATTAAATGTTACCGTCGCAATGCACAATTACTGCAATCACTCCCACCAGCGTTAATTTAATATATTTCATAAATTTTAATTTTAACAGATTTTGTTATTTGTTAATAGTAATGACTATTTYTAATCMTATTTTTATAATTACACTAATTAGATATGATCATATTATAAATTTAAATTGCATACTAATTTCATCAGTATAATATAAAATGAAGAAAAAAAATATGAACTATAGGCACCATTAATTACTAATATCCATTATTCSGAAGAATAAGACATTTCCAATATGTATTGTGGATAACAGGAAATGGCRATCATATGTTATATTTTTAGTGTTAAGGATAACCCCAACTACTCCGAGTATCTTTCGTATTGTCTACTTTGAGCATAGTCATATCATTCTCTTCCCTATCTTATATACCCATAATCATATCATTCCATTTCTCAGTCAATASGAGACTTTGTTTGTATTCTATTTACAAACCCAACAATCCTCCCCGAACAAAGTACCACCAAGCCTCCCCTYAAATAGTTACTCATCTATCTACTCTCGGGCCTGAACGAGAACTTGCTCTTATCCAAGACTTCCGCCATACCTTGAATAGAGCACACCCACAAATTATACCTCCGAAGCTTATCACTTCTTTGTTCGGCACCTAAAGATTTSACCGACACCGCTAGGTTTAGAGCATACCYATGTTAAGTTTTCTTTCTTGATGTAGCGACTAAACTCTTTTAATCTCTTTTTCATGAGGAGGGATCAAGAGAGAAATCACACAACAAACACTTTGATTTTACGTGGTTCAACCCGAAGGTCTAAATCCATGGAGGAACGACTCACATTCACAGATT